GCGGGACGGGCTGCCGGCAAGGAAACGTCCTGCAGGAACCACGTGGTGAAGCCGGGAGGTGCCAGGGCTCCGGAGGGGGAGCTTTTGAGAAATGCACAAACCTCTGTCTGTGCGTGCCAGGAGGTGCAGCCTGTTCGTTGGCATGGTCACTGCTGGAGAACGGGCAGCACAGGCAGCGGTAAAAACTGCTCTTCACAGTGGCAGAACCCCCCCTGTTGTGGCTGGCCTTCATTGTGGGCTCGCTGCTTTTGTGGCCCCTCCTTGGGCCGTTGTCTGTGCAGTGATGGAGCAGGAGATGAACGTGTGAGGAAGACGAGGATGGATGTGAAGAGGTTTCACAAGGAAGGAGTCTTCCTCTGCTGAGCAGGTAGGAACACCTCTGTTGAGCAGAGCACTGCGGTGGGTTTTGTTAAAGCCACATCAGGTTGGTGGCTGCCAGCGGAGCCCCATGCAAAACGCGGAGCAGAGCAAGGTGGTGAATGCTTGCCTGCAGCTGCACACGGTGTGTGAGGCAAAGGGGCGCAGAGGGGATCAGAGGGGCCTTGAGGCTGCTCAGCCCTTGCTCGCCTACCCTGCCCCCTTCCTCTGAGACTTTTGCAGGGCAAGTCAAAGGGCTGATGTTCTTTCTCAGGCTCACCACTAGATGGGCCCCACAGCCTTACTGTCCCTGGGACAGGTTTTCTTGCGCAGGCAGCTGAAGAAATACGGCTCCTGGTGTTCACCAGGGTTTAGGGGGAAGAACGAGGACTAAATGAGAAATGGAAATATCCGCGGACCTGCCTCACATGGAGACAGGGCTGGAGCCCTCAGCAGGGATTATTTGACTCTAAAATGCAGCAGAGTGGTGTAGGAGGGGGCAGGTTACTAATTTAACCCTTTTACAATCAAGGACCCCCTCCTCCAAAACGCATCGAAACTGGCTGGAGCAGCTGCAGGAGTTGGTCTCCCATGGTATCTCCCTGCCATGGGCAGAGAGTGATCAGTTCCCTTGGCACTGTGGCCCTCCTGGACCTCGACACAGCGTCCTGCACAGCTGCAAAGTCATTTCCCTCCACAGTGGAATGACCCTGCAAAGCAAAGGGTCGGAAGCTTTGTAGTGCAGCGGATAGAGCAGCTCACTGGACTGCGTGGGGTTGACTGGGGCACAGCTTGTCAGTTACATCGGGCTGTAACATCCCTGCAGGACAGGGATGCCATTTGCTGTGGGACATAACAGCAAGTAATAAGATCACTACAATTGTTTTGCTGACTCAGTCCAAGAGCTGGAGAACTCCAGGAGCTGATGTCAGCCCTTCCTGGTGCCTCAGTTTCCCCTGCCATGAAGAGATGCTGATAACCTGTCTCTGTCCCTGCCTGCCTCCCATCTCAGAAGTTACCATACCGTTAATCTGTTCACTCTATTCATCCAGTTGGCCTTTCACAAGCCCAGCTGGACTTGCCAGAACACAATCCAGCCTAGGCCTGCTGGGTTCCTGCATCCCCAGGCATCCTCCATACGCTGCATGCAAGACTGGGGAGGTGAGGCTGAGCAAGGGTTTTTTTGAGTGTCTGGTGCCAGACGAGGGCTTTCTCTGCCCCTCCAGAAAAGCAAGACAGAGTAGTTTTTGGACTCACCATGATTCCCCTGGTTGGGGTCAGAGTCCCTGTTGGTGAGATAGACTCAGCCCCAGAGGTCCTGTACCCCCAGGATCAAAGGGTCCAGGGCTCAACTGAGCAGTTTGCACCAAATGAAGATGAAATCCTGCAGAGAGAGGGGACTGGTCAGTTTGTAGGGTAACCTGCTTTGGGAACTGGTCAGAGTCAGGTTCTCCATCTCGCCCCGAATAATGTAATTCAGCAAATGGGGCTGCAGGCGTTGTCCCAGGCAGCCAGTCTTCCCAGTTCGAACAAGGGAGGCTGTGGGAGCTGGGGAAAGAGCTGACCTGGGACAAAGGCACTTCTCTTTCATGCATGGTGTGCCTGTGCCGGTGCCTGTTCCCACCCCCAGCCCAGGTCAGTGGCATGCGAAGCACTTGCCTGCCTCCCTAGGCGCCGGGTAAAGAAGCAACAGCTGCAGGGGCCCTTTTGCTGCCTCAGGAGCTGTGTCAGCACCCGGGAGCCAGGACGGGATCTAAATTTAGACCTGGGCTTTGTGTGTTTGTACATGCAAGTGTAGGCTCCAGCCTCCACTCCCCCACCACTTCCCCTGGGGTGTGGAGACAGTCTCAGCAAGAAGGGAGATCCAGAGGCTGGATCCAGCTGGCTAGGGCCTGGGGAAGGGGGGCTCGGCTGTGGGGCAGGAGAGGGAGAAACGGCTAGGAGAGAAACATCATGGAGCCTGCTTCTCCCCAGGATGACGTGAAGAAGAGGCAACAGAAGGAGAAGTCCAAGAAGCCGGTGCCGCCAGCAGCCCCCCGACCTGCCAGGGCTCTGTTCTGCTTGACTCTGCAAAACCCGCTGCGGAAGGCATGCATCAGCATCGTGGAGTGGAAGTATCCTTCTGGCTGCACGGGCCTGGGAGCGCCCATGTGTGTGCCTGTGAGCAGGGGTGCTAGGGAGGAGTGCTGGGGAGCAGGACCCTGTGGGCCACAGGCAGGAGAGGTGTCAGCCCACTTCAAGCCAGTGCTGGCTGTCTCGTCACGTCTGTAAAAGCCAAGGAGGCACTCGGGGAGCCTCAATAGGATGGCAAAGGCAAAGGTAATGTCTGTGCAAACTGGGGGCGTGAATAGGCTTGTGGGGGAAGCTGGGTCTGAGAAGCCATGGGGATCAGGCCATGGGGACCTTCAGTAGGGTGGTGTGGGAACAGGCAGGGACATCCTAGGTGGCAAGGGACTTGTGATAGTGAACACATTTTGTGCTGGCAGGAGCTGTGCTGGGGAGAAACTGCAGACAGCCCACTGGGAAGAGAGAGGGTTTGGTGTGTGAGAAGGGGGCACAGTGCCCATCCTGGGGTGGGGACAGGGCCAGGCTGAGGGAGCAGGAGCTGAGGATAGAGCTGGACACAACAGGCTGCCCCAAGGGGGAGGTTTGGGGGTGGGTAGCAAGACCATGGTGAGCTGCTTGGGATGTCTCTTTGTGTGTGTCATCACTTGCCTGATCCCACAGCTGCTCCCTGCTCGGGTGGTGGGGCTGGCCAGCATCCCCCAAATCCTTGCTGACACCACTGTCCTCTCAGCCCCACTTTCCCATCCCTCCCTGGGTCTGCTGTCACAGGTGAAGGCTTTCGTGAGTGGCACTGTTCAGAGGACAGGATCTCTCTATGCCTCTGGCTTACTTTAGGGATGGGGTTTGGCTGGTTGCTCTTTTATTGGCCATCTTTTCACTGGGGCATTATAGCTTGGAAATACGAAAATGTCATATTTCTTGCTACCTGTTCAGGAACTATTCAAGGCCATTAGATATCACCCTGTTCACCTGTATTTTATGAAAGAGAAGAGGATGGGAGATTAAACATTTCACTTTGACTTCTGCAAAACATTTGGGCTTGAGCAAAAGTGATGGTATTTGGGGATGTTTTCAGCAAATCCAGTTCCTCCACCCCAGCTTTTCTCATTTCAGTTGCTGTACCTATCTGCATGTTCCTGACCTTGGAAGGATCATCCCAACCCTGTTCAGGCTTTACTCCTCTTGTAGGTGGCTTGGTCACCTAAGGGCTGTGGCGCCAAGCCCTGCCCTTGGGAAAGGCTGTCTGTGTTTACCATACATGCAGTGCTGTGGGGACACTAAAACTGCTCTGTCAGAGAGGCTGTCTTGTTCAGAGCCCAGGGTGCTCCTCTGCAGGCACTCAAGGTGTGCTCACATCTCTGGTGGTGCTGTGCTGGCCGTGGATTTTAAGCCCTTGTTCTTGCACTGCAAAGCGGCTCTGTGTCCTTTGAGGAGAGGGAGCAGAGCCAAAATTGGGAAATTCTCTGTTTTTGCTTCTCTGGCATAAGGGCAGGGTTGTTCTACAGGCATATGGAAGGGAACTGTGTCTATGTCTTAAATAGGCACTGAGTATGGAATAAACTTGTGCAGACACTTTAGTGGCAGAGGAAGAGCTGGAAATAGGACTTACGTCCTCCACCATGCTCAAACACTTTCCTCCTCCTGGGCCAACACATGCCAGAGAGAGTGCGTAGCACAGTGAGGGTCTTTCCCACATTGGTGCCCTGGAAGGGGAGTGTGAAGGGGAGAAGTGGGTGTCCCACCAGTTGCAGGTGGTTCTGACCTGTGCGGGACAAATTATCCAGGGCATCAGATTTCTCCAGTGCCACCCTTGCACCTGGCTGTATTTATACCCAAATGCACCTGGCTGCCCTCATTCAGAGTCTGCGAGGCTTGACAGGGTTGTTTCAGTTCCTGAGGGTTGTTATGGTCTTCAGGGCCAGGCACGCTGCCAAGGGGAGATTAGCTGTGATCATTTTCTGAAGGGGTACCTGGCATCTGGGTTCAGTGTGGCAGTACACATTCCTGTTCCTTGGGCCCGTCTCTGCTGTACAGCTTCTGCGGTCGGAGCACAAGACTGAGACACAGGAGTGGGACAGGGTCTTTTCCAGGCAGTTGGAGAGTGGGGAGTGTCGCTGGGTGGAAGTCAGTGTGGCTTGAGGAGAGGGGTTTTAATGATGGTTCTTCTCACATCTCAAAAATCACATTTGTTAGCACAAGGAATGTGCTGAATGTTGAGCAAATTGCTGGATATTGTGTGCTTGACAGCTAGCCCAGCAGGCTGAAGGTTGTTGGTACATGTCTAGCTTTGTGGTGTCACCGTGGTATTCCAGCTCGTTCTGCGGCCAGGAGCTCTTCAAGGCAGATGGGTGAGGAGTCTGGAAATGCTGGAGGACCACAGAGCTGCAAGGCACTGAGGACCTAATTCCTGCT